GGGAGATTTTTGAGCGGACTTCCTCACTCTTGCTTTCAGAGTTTCAATGGATGATTGAAGCGCTTCCACTTCAACTCCCACGCATTGATCTGCAATTTTTTTTGTTATTTGGAAACAGAAAAAGACGAGATGGTGAAATGAGCTTCGGTATATCTCTTGAGGATAAGATTTATGAGAAATAGTTGATTTACCGAGCTCCGACTTAAATTCCCGTTCTGCCCTGGTCAGAGGTTTCTTGTATGTACCAGGCAAGGTACGGAGACGTTGCAAGCGTTGTTCAAGAGAATCATGTCGTTGAATTGCTTTGTCAATCCGTTTCTCCAACGAAGATTGGTTCTTCTCAAGTTTTGACATTTTCTGATTAGCCTCAGAAAGCCGCTGGTGTTGGTCATCGATTATTCTCTTCAGGTTGGGAGCATGATGCTGCAGCTCAAAGTAGACCTGCCAGAAAAACACGACGAGATTTCGTTATTAAGTATGAGAAAAAGGAGTAGAACACAAGTGACGCTTTTGAGTTGGGGTTAGATGCTTCTGGCTCACCTTGTGCGCATATTCAACATAGTTTTCATGGAAAAGCTTGACATAGTGATGCAGCATTGTTCGGCCTTCTACGGAATTGGCTGGAGTTGAACGCTGGTTAGGTAAAGCATGGGGAGCAATTCTTACTTTGGGACCAGCAAGTAGCTCCTTGCTTATGATGCACGCGGGATCTTGCTCTTTCTTCTCTATTGCGTTGGAGGACTCAGTCAGATCTGTACTGACATGAATTGGAAGCAAAAGATCCCAAGTTTTCATCTCTGCCACAATGCATTCTCCTGAGGATAAGACTGCAATGATCCACGAATACCCAAATGAATCCGACAGAGGTACAAAGCCCAACAGAGAAGATGTAGCGGATTCTTCTTGGCATGTACTCAGCACAGTGTGAACAGATGGCGTTTTGAGAGCTTCATCTCTTCCTGTGGCCTGACTTGTGAAGGGAAGAGAGTGTAAGACTGTTGAATCAATGCCACCGTCATGTAGGGAGTATATTCGTTCTGGCAAAAGGGAGTCAGCGAACAAAGTAACATGAGAACCACCTTCACGCTTTGTGGGTAGAGCCAAATCAACCATTGCCAGTCTTAACAGTGGCGGCGGATGCCCTAACCAAACAGTGTGATCAAGTGGCAAATTTGAAGTTGCAACAGGAAGCTCTCCTACGTTTGACTCACAAATCATTGCAACTCCTTGTATTTTGTTGTGGGAGTTCATGTGAAGACGTGATGAGCTACCAGAAATCCAAACTGGCTGGATTTCATCAACTAAAGCATCAACCTGTAATTGTCCACCACTCCAGGCAGTTACCAGAATCGAATCTTTGCTGACAAGATTATATAACAGACTCACTGCGCGGCCTTTACATTCTGCCTCCCGAACAGCGAAATTATCATCTCCTTCACCACTAGATACTTTATACAAAGGGCCCTATACACAAGGAAAAGAAGGGATCAGCATTTTCAGGCAAGCGGCAGATTAACAAAGAAGACTTCAAAAATATGTGGATAAGTCTCAGCTATTTTGTCCCATTTGTGTTCTAAATCAAGGTAAAGAGGGTACAAATCTTTGATGAGGATCACGGCTAACAAAAATCTATGAGGGGCCAATCTCGCGTAACAAACCTAAAAGAGAGGAGGAATCTTACCTGTAAAGCCAATGATGCGTCCAGCAAAGCATAAGGATGAGCTTTCAGTACCAATATATTTTCACCTCTAGTTCCTTGTTCAGTCAAGTCTGGAAATACAGCTTCCAACCAATCAATTGCCAGACTGGAATTGCTAGCTGCTAGCGAATTGGATGACTTAACCCCAAACATATTAGCATCGCTGTAAATCTCCATTATTGATTCCCATTTGTAAACACTGTTGCAATATACATCCGAAGCAATCTCAAGGACCGTTAAACACAAGACAACAGAAAATACTATAACATTTTTCATGATGTATTAAGGTTTGACATGGGGGAGGCTAATCAGCGAAAGCTATGCACTGTATACAAGGCATAAATATACCCCTTAAAAGCTTCAAATGAGCCAGAAAGCGTAGATTTGTGGTCTAATACAGTTTAATAGATGTTGAACAATCTTAGTAACCTAGCATGCGTACCAGGTACAACTTCAAGCGATATCCTAATAGAAACGTATCCAAATATTGCTAGAGAGGAAGGGATAGGAGAAAGAATCATAATCTGCATACCTTCCAAATGGCACAACTGGGCACAGGATATAAACTGAACCATCAGTGAACAATATAAAGATCTGCATCATTAAAGGATTCAATTAAGACCTGTACATGTAATCCTAAGGCTCTGTTTGACAAGACAACTTAAACAAAACAGTGAAATCTCTGTCAGTTATCAAACAAGTAGAACGAGAACATGTACTGAACTCACAGTAAATCTATCCCACAGATGATCTCCTCCGAAACTAAAATCAGCAGGATAAATTGATGAAGCTGTTCTAGATCTTCCTGGTTCAACAGGCTGTAGATAATATTCTTGCTCTGGTAGCTCGGCATCTAAAGACAAATTGAAAAGTCTAGCAAAAAGATTGTAGCAGCGTGTCAATGGACATTACTTCATTATAAACCAAAAGCTCTTAAATCAGGGTGGAATGATTTCGACTCCTTAGAGTGGGACATTGAACTAGATAGTAATATAGTAAGGCATTGCATGCCAAAAAAGGAATCTATGGTACTGCATCTACAACCTTTGTTACTGAATTATTCTAGAATTTCTCTAACATCTTTAGATTCAATCTATTGACATGTATTTGCAACTTCATTATCAACCCAAAAGATTGTTACCTGAAAACTGCATCCGAGGATAGAATTCCCAAATGGGTGTCACTATCAGGGTGCCACGATCCTTGTAGCAAGTGGATAACACTGTCACCACTAGAATAGATTTCTGAACCAATAGAAACTACCCTGCAACCCACAGATAATGAAGTGACAACGGATAAGCAGAAGGCCATCAATCTAAGGTAACATCATAATCAAGATAATAAATATAGATGCATCTTATAAGGCCAGCGTTTAATCACTACCTGCAAATAACAGTGTCTTCAATCGCAGAGGCACGCCCAAATAGGTACATCACACATACGCCATCTGAGCCGGCAAGAAGTACAGCTGATCCAGAATTATTGATGGAGATTTTGTTAACGGCAAATGTCAGCTGGACATCTGGCTGCAACACCTATAATACATTTTCGTTAAAGCTTAGCCAAACAAGAAAGTAGCACAACCTCAGACATTCCTTACCAGCTATGTACAAGTATAGCAGAACAATTGAAAGAGACTAAAAATGGTAATCGAGAGCAATCAGTGACCTAGGGCAATAAATTATGAGAATCACAACAAATTATGTACAAGTATAGCTATGTACGGTCTCTCTATCCAGACAAAACAATCACATTGCATCAATCAGATTAATACATTGGCATGATAAATCACAATAATCAATTCATGGAGTAGCCCGCAGACGTAATCTATAGGTTTTTGACACTAACCCGTAGCCAGCAGAAACAAAATCTTCCTATTAACCATCAGTAAGCAGTTGTTTTAGATGTTGATTCATACTCGAACTCTTCTTAAACCTAATTTCTCAAAGTCAGGAACAATCGCACTAAAAATCCGTTTCCACTTTCCAAAAATCTTCTCCTAAATACTCAATTTCTCCCACATAGCGGCGAACAAACAAAACAAGAACAGAAAGATCAAAGACCTTGGACGGGACTGCGGCGAGGACGGAGATTGGTTCAGGTTCACCCAAGCGAAGAGATAATCGGTGAAGGAGATATCGTTTAGAATCCCAGAAGTAAAGCCTCGAGTCTCCGTCCCAAGCCATGAAATTCCTCGGAAACCGCTGCGGCACGGCGGAATCATCCTGCGAGGAGGGAAGAGAAGCGAAAACCGGGTGGCTCTGGAGAGGGACCCATCGAGCAGCCTCTTTCGGCGTCGAAGATCGCCGCGAATCCGGAGTATCTTCTGGTTCGTCGAAGCTAAATTTCAT